AATTATAAACTACTGACGCACTGTCTTGTTATCAGTACATGGGTCACTTCAACCTCTAACTCATCTTTCTTTACCTCGACGAAGGATTAACGTCCGAAACTCCAGTAAGTTGTTTCACCAGTCAAAATATATCTTTTTGCACAACTCATCGACATGAGTCGATTCTAAATCGTGGATTATTCCAAAGGATCAAAGGACTGTTGTCAAGGTTTGATCATCGACTTTGAAATGAATGCATCATTTAACTCCTCGAGAACTGTTCTCAAACAGTGTCCAGATACTCCAACAGCCACTGCGATGACAGCCATTATGGTTTTCACTGGTATTGTAGGCAATTCTCTAGTTATTCAGTTTGTGCGAAGAGATCTCAAAASACGCAAGACACCGGACAAAGTTCTACTGCTYMTTTTRTCGGTCAATAATACTCTTGSGTGTTGCGTAAGTCTCCCATTACAATACTTTGATGTGGTACATGTCGGRAAGATYCCTCTATCGTTWGTATTATGCAGTGCTCTATGTTTTATCAAGTTATTTGTTCTTTTCTTCTGTATGGGGGTTGGTCATGTGACCTTAGCTGTACTCTCCTATGAACGYTACGAGGCCATAACGAAATTCCCGCAACAACGCTTGTTATTGTACCATAAGTCAATTCAAATCGCGTGTATTATTGTCGCTACGTTTTTCGTCCTTACGYTGGCAGTCATGAGTCCGTACATTATAAATTTAATGGCAGGACGGACGTTATGTGAAGGACTGTTCATACGCACTGACGCCTTTGAAAATGAGCTCAACAGTAGCGCTAATATTGCTTTGATTACTCTAACCGCAATCGTTGTAACGGTTTCAAATACGTTATGCTTTACGTGGYTGTTTCTTGTTGATCATAAACTAAGAAACCACTTACAATCTGTGCGTAATACGCTAGGAAATCAAACCACCGTCAAAGAARTACGTATGGTCCGTAGTGCATTTGCGTTCATCTTAACATACACTTTCATATGGATTCCGTTTGGCGTCGCGCGGGGTTTGCGTAACACGTTACCTGACTCGACATCAATCCATTGCTACTATCTGACGGCTTTTATRRTTTCGTACTTAACGTTTTCAATCGTTCCGTATTTATACATGTTTTTCGACAAGAGAATCAAAAACCCGTTGGCGYACTTCCGTAATCGCCGCGTAGCTCCCGCTGCGGAAAGTACGGGCTCGGGAACTGCGTCYACWACAAYCTCRAAGACAGCCCAAGGGRGRRG